CCTAACTCTATTCAGAGCCAACGGGCACGTCTACACATTCATTAATGCACCTTAGATACTGCACATTTAGTTTAGTACTTGCTTAATAAAGTACTAACTAAACACACAGTACCTAGAGTTACTGCACGGTAGCACTGGTGCACGGTTATTTAGTGGTACTTACTGAGCATTAGCCTAATCACACTGCGCAGTAGGCTATTAGCACGGTTTTTGCTGTGACACGCTACTGCGCAGTGTGATTAGGCTAATGCGCAGCAAGCATCTTTTGTAGATGCACCCAATGGGTACTAAAAGCAGAGGATTTCCCAAAGTGCTTAAGTAGTTTGGGGGCATACTTCTCTCCATAGGAGCTTGCACTCCTAAATCACTTGGGCACATCTGAAAATTCTTCCTCCTAGCACCAGAGGAGACCACAGGAAACTGGAGTCTGACGCCCCTTCAGAAATGCCGCAAAGCCTTTCTCTTTGGAAAAGGCGGTCCTAATAACACTGACATCTGCTTCTACTCAAGCATCCCTACCAGACTGACCAGCCAAAAAGCAAGGGAAATTAAGAAACATCTACCCTCCTTCATGCACAACCAGCCAAATCATCCTAACCCAACTGGCGTTTTCAGCAACCCCCAAAAGACAAAAGAACCAGAGATCCCAAGACGCCTGCCAAGAACGTCACCGTTGCTATCGCCTTTGTATGGAAGGGGTGCCCAGATAACACGGCGATGAATTGTAGGATGGGACCCTAAGATAGGTAGATGGACTCTTTTAGGCTGGCTTGAAAATCCCAGCTCCAACTGATTCCTATAACAATTTGGTTACAGTCACTGATGCTGCCACTGGATTGTTTCCAGAGCAGGAAGAGAGCGACAGGAATTTACCAGGTGACAGGAAAATCCAAGAGTGGCGGATAAGCCACGTGGATGTGGAAAGCTCCTTTGTGGGGTGTTGGTGAGTTTGCTTCACAGCTTGTATATTTAACGCTGCCTGTTTACTTTGCAGCCGGTCAGAAAAGAAATGAAATTGTCATGCTAATATATTTTAATTGGTCCATTAGAATTGCTAAGTAATATACATTTTCACAGGCAGATGCACGCGGCGAAGCGTGAACTTTCATTTCTCATTCTTGGTTTGTGCGACGCAAAATGATTTCTCCTGCCTTCCAAAAAAAGATTTAACTTAAAATTCAGTGTCTGACCCTGCGTCCCTCCTCACGTACTTTTGGTTGCGTTTGATGGGGCTGAGATAAGTCTGCTGTGAATGGGAACACACTATGCTACAAAAGCTATCTGGGCTTTGGACGCTGATGGTTGTGTCTTAGCGAAAGGAGAGTTGATTGCAGTAAGGCTATGCTGTGGAAGTGAGGTGAGCTATGAATTGAGTGGAGGTGGTCTGTGGGATGATTTGTGCTAGAAAAGGATATTTACACTTTGCAGAAGGGGGGGCGGGGAGGGAGAATCAGATGATTCAAAGGAAAAACCCTTTCCTGAATCTGAAATGCTAATAAGGGTTTGAATGAGATAGTAGTTAGGTCCATCTGTGTCATGAGGCTAATATTATGCTTTGGCACTGGAAACAACAGAAGCTGCTTTATACATAGATAAAATAGCTCGTATCACTCCTGTCCAGATGGGCAGTGTTATGTGCAGAGAAACTTTCTTCCTGACCGTTGAAGATCACCAGTTTAGGTCTTGAAGCAAGAGAAGTGACTTCTCATTCAGCTACAGAATTTAAATTTAGATTTAAACCAGTTCAGGGCTGATTTGCAAGATATGCCTGCAAATAATTGGAGATCGCTGCACAGTCTTCGAGGCAGGGGCTGTCTTGGGTTTGTAGGTGCATCTAGCACCACAGAATTACATTCCTTGACTAAGGCCTCTAGGCATTACTCCAAAAAGGAATACTACTACTACTACTGATTTGTGCTCAGAGCTTAAAAACCCTCCATTGCATTTGGGGTTTATTTCAGGCTCATCACAATTGCAAGTGTTATTATCTGTTCATCCTTATTCTCACTATCACAGTGGATTAAACCTACCCCCCCACAGTCCCCTGGTGGGAATGCAGACTTTAGTCTGAATGCAGTCAACACCTGCTCTGCCTGATGTATCTGTGCGCATATAAACCTTGGACATGTAGTAACTAACTGGTTTTGTGTACGGGAGTGCTGTGGAATTTGCTCTCCGCAACAGTGCAGCTTTCCAGCTGCAGCGAGCACGATTCACCAGCTGTGTCTGGTCCCTGCTGCACCCAAAGGCCTGCACTTGAGCTGC